CATACATACATACATACATACATACATACATACATACATACATACATTACATACTGAACATACATACATACATACATACATACATACATAAATACTGAACATACATACATATATACTGAACATACATACATACATACATTACATTACATTACATTACATTACATTACATTACATACATACCATACCATACCAGTACAATACAATACATACATACATTTCATATCACATGTTCCATCAACGATTTGCCTTTCAACCATCTTCAAGAATTCAAGGTTAAATATAACTTCCCCAAACTAGCACATAGTTTCTAGGCCTGACAAACAAGCAGGCCAACATGGTCTCCAATATATGAGCCTGTATGAGCCATTGGGACACGCAAAGGACGGTCCATCCGCCGTCGTTCGGCCGTGCCTGAGATCCTGAGGTGGAGGACCCAAGGCTCCTCAGCCCGCCCGCGGTATGCGTCAGGGACGGTTGGCGGACAGAAAGTGGGCAACAAATTGAACCGAAGACTTTTCTGCCATGTCGGCTGTCAGGAACCTTCTTTTTCCAACTCAATTGGACCAGCCCACCCGAGACAATGTTCATCATCCCTTTTCCATCACGGTAGAGCTGCTCAAAAAATATCTGGGCGTGTTGATGCAGGATTTGGTGGGTGGGGTCTGTGGTCTCTTTCTTGAGCAGTCAGGACTCCAGGACCTTGGATTCTCCACGACACTGCCACACTAAACCCGCTTCGCTCGACCACATTGACACGCAGCAGCGGCCAACGATATTTTGCCACATTCCTTGGGAACCTCTTTCACGTATTCTTCATGGGCTAGTTGGGACTGCTGTCTGTTCAAGAGGGTTCCTAGGCCTTTTGGCGTCCTGGTGGACGTCTAGGCCTTTCGTGTCCCGCGAGTCCCGGTACCTGGTGTTTTGCCCCAGCGTCGACAGCATCTGATCGATCTCCTCCTCCTCCGGTGGCCTGGATCGTGAAAAGCACCAGGATGTGGCAAGCGTTATTGACGGGAGACCAGGCATGCACTCGTTGGATTGGGAGGGGCTCCTTAGGAAAATTCATAGTTAATCGCGTTCAAAGATCCTCTTCGAGCCTAAGTGTGTTATTGTGTGTTAGTTCACTTTGGCATGCAAGTTAGTGGTGCATTCTCCATATCAGTCCAGGGTTTCCATGGTGCAGCAACCCCGGAACAGAAGGGGAACATAAACATACCGACATACCGACCATCAAGGCTGAGATCGGGGTGTGGAGGCTTGGCTTCACCGGTGGCCCCCAGGAACTGCACGGTTCACGTCATCTAAGCCAGCCACGTGCCCTCTTCGTTGACCACCTCAGGCCGCACAACAGACACGTGCCGATTGCCACGTGCACTGGCCACCGACGAATGGAAGGAACGCGCCCTCCGCCAGCGGAAGAGACGAAATAGATCAACACAAGGCATGTTCAAAGGGTCCAATGCAAGGGAGCCTTTGGGAACACTGTTCTTGAAGGATTTCATCCTACAAGTAGGCACTTGTAGAAGGCTCCGGAACCGGTGCCCACCATTCTAAGAGCAATTTCATGACTACACATTGACATCAATGTATCCCTTTGCAAATGGAGATGAGATGTGCAACATGTTCCATCTACTGCCCACTCGTGCCGGTATGTTATGCCAGTCGTACTATTTCCTCGCTTGGCTTAACAACTCTACGTCGGGCTGCTGGACTTTGCAGCAACAACTGGCTACAGCGGCTACCTATTCAACGTTTCCAGCCAGCAAATCAGCAGTCTGCTGGGCAATGGACAGCTCTTCGTCGGTGGGAATCACCCAAATCTCTGTCTTCGACGCAGGCTTATGCAGGGCCGTGCCGCCAGTGCATCGCCCTGGGGTGTTGTGAGGAGGACGGCATCTGGAACCAAAACAAAGGAAGGAGTGAAGCACCCTTTTCCAAGCAATTCGGACATTCCAAGGTTTACAAAAGCATGCTTCCGATGCATTGGGCGATGGGAGAGCGCCTTGAGGATTCCAGAAAAAGGACCTGCATGCTACACTGCTACACATGCCCATTCCTACACCATTGTTGACTGTGCATTGACAAACCTGACGCTCATATTATCAAGTCAGGTCAACCCACACAATCCGGGCTCCATGTTTCACAATGGCTGCACAAAAAAAGCAATTCATTCTATACGTCCATTGCTCCATATACATGTTAAGTAAGATTCACTCAAATCTGCCTGATGACTTACTTGAGGCTTCACTCCAACCCAATCCTCATCTCTTGCTCCGATTCTTCTCGCCCTTCTCCTACCCATTCCCAAGCTCCTCCCATGCGCCCCCAAACACCCCAAACACCCCAAGCGCCTTCCGCCGCTTGGTTGGCTTCTTCATCCAGCTGAATCCCCAGCCTCTCCAGGCCCTCGCACACCAGCGACCGGTGCAAAGGCGAATTCTCTCCGACGCCACCGGTGAAGATTAAGGCATCGACCCGATTCAAGGCCACCAGGTAGGAGCCCAAATGCTTTCGTGTGCGGTAGACCTGGAGGAGGTCGAACGCCCTCCTTTTGAACAGGAGTCCAGATCAGATACCCGCACCAAGCTTGCAGCAGAGCTAAGCAGAGCTTGTTTTTGGGCAAGGTTCTTCTAGCACGCGATCTCCATAGGTCGTTACATCCCCTGAAACAATCATGGCAGTGGAATGTAGGTTGCTGGAAGACCATGTTCATCAATTTTCCTCTACAAGGGGGTCCTGAATGATTGTTGGAGGGAGGGCAAGTTTCAAAGAGCTGTTGGAGAAGCCCTGTAAAATCACTGAACGTTTCTTGCGTCTTTGGCACTAGTGCTCCGTTGATCAATCGAGGGGGTGCTACTATGCCCATTGCTGAGCCGTGCAGGATTGGTCACCTACATTGTTGGTCTAGTCTAGGTCCTCCCCACATCTGTCAGTGGATGTAGTCGTGCCCATGAGTAGGGATGGAGCATGAGTGGTTTACAAACAAAAAACTGATCAGATATTCATGGACAAATGATTCCATTTTTCTGCTCATCCACAAAACTCGCCTCGACTTCAACAACTGGCAGCAACACACGCCCAATCCCTTCTCAGCCCAACTCAGTCCCATCCATTGCTGAGGGTTCTTTCGGACCAAACGATTTTTTGCCTAAAGGCGCCGCACCTGAATCCTCTTCGCCAGCTGCGCGCGATGCTCGCCCGTGCGAAAGCGCGCTTCCACATCGCGGTTGTCGGAGAAGCCACAAAGGCCCTTAAGACCCGAGTGTTTGTTCAGAAGCTCTGAGACCTCCTCCGTGCTGTAGCCTCGCATGGCTGAGAAAGCATGCCCTAGCAGCAAGCTTTGGCTGGGGGCGGTTCTATTCATGTTCATCAAGGTTGGATGCATTACAAGGCTTAAACTTTCAACTTATATTTTGATATTTGCCTTTGCTCTTCCAGTAGTTCACATCACCAAATCAGCATCTAGCCTTCGATGAAATATGCAAACGGTCTGGGAGAAAAAAATAAAGTGAGGACAGGGTCGCTGTAGGATTAGGTCTCGGTTCTTTGTACAGGTCACCAAAGATGAAAGGCCAAAGACCCAATGTACAGTAGGCTCTTGCTCTTGATTGACAGCGGTTTCAAGAGTAAATGGCACTGGCACCCCAAGTTCAATGGGTTATATTATGAACCTCCATGTAGGAGACATCTTGGGTGCCAGTGCCATACACTCAGGCGTCCTGTGGACCTGACTCAGGCCCCAAACACCATGGGGTGACCAGTGGCCCAGCTCGATGAGATGGAGAGGCACTGCAGGATCCAAGTCTCCGCAACGAGTTCCCATCACCTGCATTTGCGCTATTCAAAAACTACGGGAAAACATTGCGGAACCTCTGGGAAAGGATATTGAATCATCATTCTTAAGCCGTATGTGGGTATTTACATGAATACATTTGTTTGGGGGAGGGTACAGTACTCGGCAAGTTGGTCAGTGAACTCACAGTACGACAATTGGCTGAAGCACCGCAAATCGTCGGAAAGCCTTGTTGCTACGCAGCCAGAGGGGAAAAAACACCACCTCGTTTTCCGCCGGTCGATTCAGCCACCTCTACTGAAAGGGCAAACAATGGAAGAACTTACAAAAACATACAAAGACTGTACTCGTACTCGTTTTTGATCATTTTTACTTTTTGGATTTGCTGGATGGAAGCAACCAGGACAACCATGGCATGACCCGCCCCAAGCAGGGCAAGAAGGATCTGCTTCGTGTATATTTGGGAATTTATTCAAGTGGTTTTCCCTCATTTTCGTCTGACAAACAGACTCGCCAGTGAATTTCTACGCGTTCCCGCTGCCGAGGAACTAAGCCTTCGAGTGGTGTGAAACCCATGGTGGTGTCAATGCATTGCCCCGCTTGGATGGCGCACATGGAGGCGCCACTCCCCAAGTGGCACACGATCAAGTTCACCTCACAGGTGCACAGGGTGCGTTCGGCCCACAAGCCGATTCACCCTCCCAGCAACCCACATAGCTTTGGATCGAAAAGGTGCTGTTCGTTGGTAAATGGCAAGTGTAACATTCATGGTGCATCTCAAGCTTCAGGGAAGTCGTAAAAAAGGTACCTGCAAAAGACCCCCACCTCCTTGACAGGCTTCTGCAACGCTTTGGCTGCTTTGCTGACAATGTAGAGGTAGGACGTTCCATGAAATCCATATTTTCGAAGGCCGTGTTTCTCACAAAGCTCATGTGGCAAGGCATACCTCAGCATGCTATAGCGTACGAAACTGCTCCATGACTCATCACTGCATGCCAAATGCTAAGTGTCCCTGCCTCGTCTGTACCCAAAAGGTGACCTCCATTTGTCAAAAACGGGCAGTTGGCACAGTGAACACTTCTCCTCTGCTGAGACAACCTGCTCTGACAGTCTAAAATTTACAAATGCTTGTTCCTGTCAAGCATGGTCCCTTACGACAGATATGCGCACATCCCTACAAACAAGTACAATCTGTGATGTTTTTTGGCATATTCATGCATGGGCGCTCTCTTCAAGTTCATTGATCATGTGACACATGGTTCCGTCGAAGAAGAACCCCAATCATCATGCTAGAGCTGCTAGATGCTGATGGTTGTGGGCCTGATTCAGTCCTATCATGGTCCCGCACAATGACCAAGACCTGTCGTGATCTAACTATATATATATATACACATATTATATATGCATAAATATATATATATATATACATATATAATATAATATATTATCTATTATCAAAAAAAATCTAAATTGACCCCAAACTAAAGTAAAGGAACATCTCGGACTACGGTTGCATACGGCTGAGTTCAACCAACCGAGTTCTTTGAAGTCGGCTTCGAGTGGGGAAAAAAAACATATACAGAAATTATAGACTGTGATCCTTACTGCAGGGTTGAACTTGACATCCCCATTCGCCCACCCAGGTACATATATGCCTCTGGTGGCATCGTCTGATGGAAGGCAGTGTCAAAGACTGCCACCTGTGGACACTTCAGTGTCTCCTGAGCCACCTGAGCTATGCTGAGCCACTGCTGAGCATGGAAGAAGCAAATTGAACACCACTGAACAAACCGAAACTACCTAAAGCCAGGCAAACTATAGATTCTGTAGAAAGGTGGACGGTGAATCCGAATCCACTCAAATTAATTATCTATAGAGTGGAAGTCGAACTCTTATTGTAGGGTAGCTGAGCACAACATAATGATTGTTTACGTCCAAAACCTGGCTGCACCAGGGTCCAACAGAACCTAGGCCTGGTTGGGAGCAAGCAGTTTGATCCTCATGCCTCGTCAGGCTCGGCGCGGTTTGGCCTGTCACCTCACACATTCCCATCTGCCCGAGTAGCTGTGGACTGCTGCCTTTTGGCTCACACTGAAAAAGTTCTGGGTGATCGAACATCATCATTTCATCAAGCTGAATGCATATAAATGCACCCTTTGGCAAAGTCATGGCCATGATTAAGCTCGTTTTTTGTTCCCCTTTTTCACCATCCCGATCGCTTTGACGTTCGCGCCTGAATGCCCAGCAAGTTCCAAGGATTATGCATGGGTGCCAACCTTCCAGCGCGCTCAATCCGTTCTAAGACCTCCTCATTCACAAGCGTCGCCCGGGTGAAGGTCTCGCCATGCACGACCCGGTGTCCCACGGCTGCCAGGGAATTGAACTCCAAGCGGGACAGGATCCTGACTTGGCCAATCAGAAGTAGCTGAACTGAACATTATCGTAATCGGTAATCCAAAGAAGGAGACGGAAGAATATGGAAGTTAAACAAGATTGACAATATTCAGTTCTAATTCTTTGCTTGGATACTGTCCACGCATCTAGTTGAAATATGTTGAAATGTATATATAGCACTTCTTGAAACCTGCATTCGCATCCTTGACAAAGGCCTCTGTCAAGCAGCCAAAACCTTCCAAAACTGGCCGAAGCTTCACCTCCAGCGCCGCCCGGTGTCCATTCGACGAGCCCGGCAGCAGGCTGCCCTCGCTGCCAGCCTCGCTGGTCCGAAGCCGTGCACGGGGCGTGTAAAGCCCATCCGCCGAGCCAAAGAGCATCTTGGTAAGCCCCGAAGCACTTGGGGAAGACGCTCTCTTGTTCCAGCTGAAAAGGGCATACCTCACGTTTGGACATTTGGTTAGGTATGGTCTAATTAACTATGGGACCCTGCAGGCACCAGTGGGCATGTGTGAGCTTTGACTTTGGCAGCCTTTCGAGTTGTCGGCAATTCCTAAGATGAACCAGCTTGGAATGGGTTGGCTAGAAGGCCAGTCATCAGTAATGAAACATGCCCCGTAACTGATCGCGATTCATCTGGCCCAGGCACTTCAGCGAGCTGCTGCCAGAGTTCAACACCAACAGCTGCTGCGCCATGGCGGCCCTTCTTTCAGGCAAGGTCGCTGGACAGTCGGTGCTGTCTGTTTTGTGGGTGCACCGGGGGCGGCCCTTGTTATCCCTTGTTCATGTCTTTCATGGGGCCATGGGAGTGTTCAATCAGCAATGCCATTTGCCCGTACTTGACCCATGGAGTGATGGAAAGGACAAGTCGGACTTCCGGAAGGCGGTGCGAGAGTCAAAGCTTCACCACGAGCTTCACCAGTATGGTGATCAAATGTGATCAGCTTCAGCCAAAAGATCCGAAAGTGGTAGGATATCAAAGACATGTGGCCAATAAGGGTGGAGCAAAAAGCTCCCTGATGATCCACCCTCATCCTCACCTCAATGACCTTGGCCAGTGCGACTTGTGACCCAAAATAGGCCACCACTTCCTCTTGACGGGATCCCCCCCCCCCCCCCCCCGTTATTCAAAAGAAAACAACTCCGTTTTCCAAGGTTTCAACGGGTGCCAGCGCTCGCGGCCATGTTTCCGGGCACACATGCGCCCCTCAAACGATGGAATGGCCACAGCTGGAGGAAGGCCCAGAAAGGATGATGGATGAAGTTTTTGGCTGAAAGGGTGAGGTGCCAGATGAAAGGTCCACAAGCCGGGCCTTTCATATAGATTTAAGCAACTCTCTTGAGCGGAGTCTACGCCGAGGTGCCGAAAATTCCAGCTGCGGCTGGCTGCTGAAGAGGCCTGGGGCTGGCTGAGCGAACCACTCTCGCTCGCTTTGACATAGGAATGCCATGGAATGCCACCAGCCACACGGTCGTATATGTTCAGATATTTTCCGTGTTTCTGGATTCTTTTTCCAGGGCTTGTTGGGATGGCACACTCAAGGCCGGATTCCAGGTAAATATTCCAAAGCAGCTACGAATCTGCCATGCTGCAAGCTGAGCAATTTCTATGTCACCAAAGAAGCCAATTCCAATGTTTGCTGTCCTCTCCCTCTCTCGTATTGTCATGAACGCATTCATCATGCAAACAAATCCAAGGAACACAGGCTCTGAGCCAGGTGAGACACCCCAGCTCAGAACAACAATACCCCAACCTCATCCAACCAATGGACCTCCTCAACACTGCAGGGCCCTCAAATGCCGCCCCCGAAGCGCGCAGTCCACAACGGGTGTTGGGTGCGGTCTGCGGTCTGAGGCCCTTGACACCTCACCAGAACTCCAGCCAAAGAGCTCCGCCTCCGAGGTGGGCTTGAGACGAACGAACGAGCCGGAGGACGCTGGAGGACGCTGGAGATCCGTTCGGACCCAGGGGTTGTGGGCTTAGGATTTTGCGGGGGTTGCCAGGCGGGAAACAAACACACGCATAGCGCACATAGTGGCATCAGGTATCCAATCTCCCGTTGAAAAAAGATTAAGGGCAAAACGGGCATCTGACATCATCTGACCCACGGAATGGGCATGTCTCTGGCCCCCTTCAGAAAAAAGAAACCATTGAGGAACAGCAATGGCAGGGTGCCTGCCAAATGTTTCGGCAAACTTAAAGAACTCATCATTTGATCTTGGCAATGCAAACACATAGTTCTGTTGCCACAAGCACACTCCTCTGCACGACATACTGCTTGAGAACACATGACCAATCACCAAAACCAACTTCATGACGATAGCGCTGAATCCAAGACCAAAAGCAAAACACATCCACCCTACAGGACCGATCACCGAGAACTATGGCACTCTCAGCCAAGCTCTTCATCTGTCATTGGACGGCTGGTGTAAGGAGGTGCGTTTGCCTCACTTGCAGGACTTGGTCACTGAGAACTTCTCACACCGACTTGCTCACCACCAGCGAACCATTTGGCGGATGGAGCTCTCCCTGGAAGTGGGTTGGTGCTGGTTTTGAGTTGGTCATGATAGATAGCGAACTCCCCAACGCGCATGGCATCATTTGAGTTGACTTGGTGCTGGTTTTCTGCAAGCACGACGCCATGAAAAAGACCTGCCGTCAAGACACAAGGTGTCGCCAACGGCGGTGTCGCCCGGCTGCACACTCACTCCGCGCGTGTTGATGTCCTTGCACCGAAGACCAAGAAACAGGTCTCAAGGACACTCGGCAAGTAGGTTGGAGGCCATCGCTACGAACGCTAAGACTGAAGCTAAGCTACGAACGTAACCGAGGGCAGGCCTAGGGTGGACTCCTGTGGACTCTGTAGAGCTGCTAGGCACTTACTACGGCAAAGGATAACCATGGCTAGAGGAGTGCAGCTCCAAAAGGAAACAGTTCGATGCCGGGGCCTTGTCCAGCTGGAACAGGGTCCCTAGGTAGCGATTGTTCTCATAGGGCCCACCAAACAGCCTCAGGTGCTCAGCTGACAGGCCGCCCAGTTGGAGGTCGACGGGATCGACAACAGCGACCTTGTCCAGTTTCATCCGGGGAGAAACGAAATTTAACAAATAAACACGTAAATTAAAACTACGGATTCCCCGCCCATCTGAGTCCCGCTGGAAATGGGAGAGTTCCCCAGGCCCTTCGCTCTCTGTCCTCCTCCCAACTGGGGACGCCGCTGGCCCGGGCGCACCACGGTGACCCCGAAGCCCTCCGCCGAGGCCTGGACGCGGAGGGAGCCAGGCACGCGCCAAGGCCTCCGTGTCGAGGCCTGTCAATTCGAAACAAGTGGAGGATTGATCAAATACCATGTTTCATACCACAAAACACATCAAAACACTTCCCCCCACATCATGGAAGCGGGAGTGAAAAACACTGGTTAGTTGGGACTTCAATTTTTGCATGGTCGGTCTTACAAAGTGCCCCGTGGGGGGGCCATTCCATCCACGTCACCTGGTTTCAGGGAGTGTATCTCAAACACTCCAGGGGACTGGCATATTCACCGATCGCTTGGGGTGGTTTTTCAAGGTGGTCCATGCAGGGCATCTCCAAAAAACACTGGTAGGGATGGGGATCTGCTCTGTTGGCTCAGCTGATGCATAGCCTGGAGATGAACGTCCAAACACCAGTGTATTCAAACGTATTCAATTACTTGAGTTGGCTTGATACGAACAACATCAACTTGTCTTGGCAAAAGAGGGAGGTTTTAAGTATCCTTCCAACATCCAAGTGGCGTTGAAACAGTTGAGTGCTTCGAACCAAAAATGCAGATCAGCGTTCCTTCCTGCGTCACCCTTCTCAAACCAAGGGCGGCCCTCCACACTCTGAGTATGGCCTCCACAACACGCCAAATTCTTGGACTAGACTCCAACCAGCATTTGGATAGCGAAGGTCAATCATGCTCCGTGACCATTTCCTTACAACCTTACATAATTAAGTTATCTATCAGTCTATCAGTGATAGTTACTTTCGATTGTTACTGGCTGAAGGCCCGTGAGCCGAAAGAACCACCGGACCAAGTTCCGCTCTGCGGCCCAGGCCATCTGTGCCACTGCCTCCTCACCACGGGCCTGGCTCATGAGCGAACTCATGCGAACCCAGATGGAGGGGCATATGGCGGTCTCCACAGCGGGGTGGCCTTCCCCGCAGATTGATTTTTTTACGACGTACAATATATATATATTATATATATAATATTTATGATATTTATGCACGTTTGCATGAAATGTACTAAGTGGCCTCGTCAGTCATCTCCCACAGCCACTACACTGAGCACCGCACAAAACCCAAAAGTGCTCAGGCCATAATCATAAACCGACAATCATTAGTTAAAACTAATACTAATACATGTTAAACAGTTAAACATGCTTAAACCATACATTAAATGAAAAGAAATATATAAACCTCTCAGGGTCCACCATTTGACCGACCCCGTCGGCGTTTCGGTCGCCGCCTTGGCATCCAGCACGCCACCACCGTTCAGGATGTTGTACGGGAAGCCATCGCGCCGAGTGACACCTCGCGTAAAAGAAAGGGAGGGACAAGTGACAAATCAGGTTGGTCCACGTTGGTCAGGTTGGGAAATTCGTTTTCCAAGATCTCATCGATGCAGGTTGTTTCTTTTTTTGTCAGGCACTTGTTGTTTCAGTTTTGGCGAGGGGGGGAAATTGGACCCACTTCCCCAACACGTTTCTTGGGTTGAGGGGATCGCCAGCCACCTCGTCGATCCTCGTCGCCTCGGCCACATCGGTTTGGTCACAACGTGATCCCCGTCGTCCTCACCGCTTCGGCCGGATGGTCGAGCACCGCACCGATGGAAGACATGAGCACGAAGCGTCGTTTGGGCCTCGGTCGGTCGAACGACATGTGCCAAAATCAGCAAATACATGTGCACACACACACACACTATCTATCTATCTATCTGTCTATCTATCTATCTATCTATCTACAAGGTATCTATCTGTGACTCCCTATCCGTACGCCGTACGCCAAAAAGATCAGTCAATTCCAATCACCCTTATCAATTCGGTATCCCAACACCGCTCAAACACCTTCCCCGTGAGCTCTCTGTAGGAAGTGATGCTTATCACTGATCACTGCTTATCATGCTACATGCACAGCTTTGCAGTAGTATCAATCATACCTTTGCCGTCCAACAAAGACATCTGATGGTCACATGCTGACTATACTGGATTATAAACAAGTAACAAATATACAGTGGTTGATGGTGTAAGACCAACCTGTCATGGCAGTGGCCACTGTTTTTTGGAAAAAGGACTGCCCCTGCAATCTCCGAAGCTCAGAGAGTCGACTGCTTCCCATTCGTGGGGCAGTCCGCCCCACGCATGATCACCAAACAGAGGTGCACGAACAACCAAAGGCACCCCACACCTTCTCTGCAGAAGACCTTGGCGCACGAGAGCTCGCTGGAAGCCGAGACTTCCGTGCCTGTCATGTTTTCTTTTACAGGGGGCTGTCGGAGAGCTAGCCCAAGGGCTCTGGGCTATGCCCAACGATGATGGATCCTTAAACGATCTTGACGACCGGGAACCCAAAAAGGCGCCTCTTCCATGAATACGTCAGTCTGTGGGCACAAAACTGTTTGGACTGACAGTGGAGAGACATGTAGACCAAACCCCTGCCTCCTAGGTGACCTAACCGTAGCCCACCATGTCTTGCCCATGGCCCTTTTTTAGGCCACCTCGCTTCCGGCATCGGTATTGAGGAATCCAGTCTCCCTGATCTCGTTCAGTGTGATGGCGTGGGATCTTGAAAAGGCCCCTCACAGCCCACATCGGCCATCGGCAGTGAGATCCGCTTCAACGTGTCACGATTCAAAAGAGGGGGTGCCTCCTATCTGGTATCGTAGCCGCCCAAAGCACCCAGGTCCAGGCTGAGCAGCTTTACATGACCATAAGCTGGATGGGCCTAAAAAGTCATACAGCTCAGATAGGCGTGGTGGGGTGCAAGCGGTGTGTATATAAGAGAAAACTAAACCCAATGCCTCGTGGTGTTCCTCACTGAGCTCAAGGAAACCGATCGCATCTCTAATTCGCTAGCCTCCTCAAATTCATTCTGGTCGCCCAATAGATTGATACGTGATGAATTCCCTGCAACAAATCCTTCGGTGGAAGTGCAATCAATCTCTGGGGACCGTCGAGCAGTCGTTTTCCTAGACCCTCCCGGACCGCCGCAAAGGCCGCATGTGTGGCCCCCCCCCTCCGCTGCGGTCTATGTAGAGCAAAGGTGCCACACATGCGCGACGTTCTTCACGCCAAAGTGATCCACCTCATGTCTTCGACGTGCGGGTCAAGGTGTTTGATCAAGGTGGAGGTGCACGGTCATTGGCTACGGATCACTTTGGCACCTGGTAAAGTGGTGGATCTACTTTGCAGCTTAGGACAATGAATATTCATTTCCCACATGAATCAGCCTAATAAGGAGGTTGACGGGTATTAACATCAAACACCAAAACCGCATGCGTCCTGCGACAAACATTTCAACGCGCGCTTGTTGGAAAGCTGCGGATCCTGCCGAACGAAAGGATTCCAATACCAAAGGCGCCGATCCTAAAACGCCTAAAATATATTAACATATCATTAAAACACCATAAAATGATCCCCCTTGTGGAGGTCTCTGGGGTGAGGGATTTGATTTTATAAAGAAAAATCATTTATAAAATGGAATCCCTCAGGCTGCTGCTTTATAAAATGAGAACCCGACCTTTTTATATAATGGCGAGACAACATACAAGAGCAAAAAAAGAAAATCCGCAGACGCCTTTTTTCTCTTTATGGAATGGCTTTCCATGAACCGGTGATCATTTTGATCCGAAAATGGTCCATGTTTATGGAATGCTCAACCAACATCTTGCTGTGGTTGTGTCCACTATAAGTCTAAAGCCATGGGAGCCTGCATGGGACTATCATACTATAATGAGCCATTTATGGTATAGCACTATAGTGGCTATAGGCTCCATGTAGGCAAATCCTATGCAGGACTAGTTTCTGTTAACTCTTTTTGAAGAAGAATAATTCACTCAAAACATCTCAAAGGAATGAAAGTCAACTTTAATATCAAAACAAGGGAGCAACTGTGCAATTTAAGACAAGTGATAGCAACCAAATTAAAACATGTCCATCCATTTCCCATCATTTCCCCTGCCAAAGACAAAGCACAACTTGAATGTGGCACATGGTGAATGCTCAGGTTTTGATCAGCAGGCAAAATCATGTCAAAATGTTCAATGAACATCAAATCATAAAATAGCTTTCCCCTGCCAAGGACTACTAAATCCATTGGCAAACATGTCAAAACTGAGCCACGCAGCAGCAATTCACATATGATTCATAAAATGGTTCTATTCTCTCACACCATTACTTGTTTATAACATGAGCAACCAACATCGAGCTGTCTCTATGTTAAAAAAATCACTGTTTATAAAATGTACACAGGAGTTTTTTTTTCAAAATTCCGATTTCCGGAAACATTGTGCTTTTTATGAAGTGAGTCCTGGAAAAGTCAATTTATAGGTCACCAGGATCCCCATTTCATAAGGACCTGTGCAAGGGGGATATAAAATACGCATCCGAGAGCTTCACCACCTTTATTCGCCCAGCGCCTCAGGCGTCCGGGCCGTCTCTGGATGGTTGCCCTTCTCCCACCTAGGTGCGATCGTAGCACATCTTCGACCAAGGCAAGGGCGGCACGTTCACGGACTCGGAAACCACTGGAAGTCTGATCGTCGTCCCTTTTAACTCCTCGGCCGGTAAGTGTTCTTGAACATTAAACATTTTTATATCTCAATAATGCATATATACATATAGTATAAACATACGACATGTGTTTAAGTGCATGAGGTGTCTTATGAAAACCTTCCCTTTTGGTAGAAAGTGGGGGGGCTTGGGATCCACATGGATCCACCATCCTCCCCTTCCTTTTGATCTACCGAGGGGGTGGAACATGGGTGGGACGAGCATACACAACAATGTCATACGTTGAGGGATCTCCAGTGCACGTGCGTTCTGTCAAAACACAAATGGAAGGGAGCATCGCGAAACCAAAGGGAAGAGAACACTAAACTTACTGTAACAAATGAGGTCATCCTCCAACACTTAACTTACACATGCTTACACGATGTCACAAAATACCACCTGTAGTATAAAATTATAAAGATTACAATAGTATACAGTATACACATGTATACACATGTCCGAGAACAATTTGATTCACCCCAACCGGAGCCCTTTCTTGGGGTCCCCCAACCGGAGCCCTTTCTTGGGTTCCCTGCTGCCCGCTAATGCCGAAGGCTGGCACACCGGTGGTGCACACCACTGCCGCCGCCGAGGACAAGGGTTCCAGTAGGGCCGCAGCATCCCGGGTGTCCTGCACAAAGGTCGTGTGTGCGGCGATCTTCGAATCACAGATCCGTACGACATCCTGACTCGTACAGTTCCAGTGAGTGTCTGTTAATTCGATAAAGACTACGTGACAACTGCACCATGGACGGTAGGTGTCCCAGGCGATGTCAGCGGATTGTCTCACCAAGACCAACAGTGAGGCAGTACCTGAGTGTCTTTGAGGAGGAACTGCAATAAGAAGAAACCATGTCAATAATTAAATATCAATCATGATCAAACATCATCAAACAGGTTTGATTATACATATTATCAGTACCTAAGTGTCTGCTTGATCATGTTTGAAGAGCGAGCGGTACGGCACGAAGGAACGGCACGAAGGAGTGGCCCTGTCAGCGTCTGCGTTGGAATGCCGGGCATCGCCCGGAGGAAAAGGCTAAATGTGCCACGAAGTTCTTATGGACTTTTGATGACTTCTGGACATGATCACAATGGGCTGGTACATTGTAAAGGTGCCTAGGACCCGGGACCAGGAAACTCTGTCCAATAGAGTCAATAGAGTTGCGCAACTTACCTCCGTCTTTAGGGATACTGAAAGTGTAGGGCCAGGGGCGCGATTGAAGGAAGAGAGGCCTCTTCGGTTAACAAAACAAACAAACCACTGTTGGAGCTTGGTGCACACACGATCGTACACCTACAAAGTATACTGTAAGTACAGCAATGATGGCTGTATCCCCAGCTTCCATGACCATCATCGGCTCCCCCCCTCAGAAGATCAGCCGCTGTAGACGGTCAGCAAGCGGATTTAAGGGGAAGTGGAGCCGAGCCATTGGAGAGAAGATCAGTGCTACGGGTGGACAGGGTTCCAACACGAGGTGTGTGAGAATTGCAGTATATACTGTGCGGGTTGGGGAACCCGAGCATCCACCATGTTCGTGACTGTGTCACGATCTTTGGGTCCAGGATGGTTGCAGGAGGCTTCCAGAAGATACTACTTTGGCATCGTCGTCAACCAGATGTTGCATTCTTTTGCGGTAGGTTCGGCGACTAGGGACGAGAGCAGCATGCTATAGCAACAAACCACCCCCCCAATGGCCACCAAAGACCCACTCATGCCATGCCATCATTGGTTTGGCAATACAAGCAAGGCCGTGGCACGATGCAGCCGACCCTCTTGAGGCATCGGTGCTCTGAGAATCTGAGCTGGGATCGTCTCAAATACCAACAGAAACACACATGAAACATCATGAAACATGAATGAATCATCATGAAAGACACATGAAACATGATGAAAAACACACGAAACCTCATGACGTATCATGAAACACTGAAAGTCATTAAATGTCTATTCGCTGGTGTTCGACGACCTGCGCACCTCTCCGAGCCTTTTGTCCAGAGCTTCGTCCACACGCCCCATGACCCCACAGAGGCCCACGGTCCGCTTCGAAGAGGCTTAGGTTCTCCAAGTCTTGGGCCTCCAAGGGCCACCGGGTTGTCGGTGTATAAGGGTGTATTTATAGTATCTTTCCCACCCTCCAAGACCTACCTTCTGGGGCTTGCACGGCATATTGCGAAGCGGATGCCATATGATAGCATTCTGCAGAAGCACATGTCATTGACATGAACACCCCAACAACATTTGCCGTTAAGAGATCTAATTCAACTTGATTGTGACATCTTCTTGATTGTGATATCTTCTTGATTGTGTGGATCTACAACTGGCGACTCTTTTTGAATCCTTCCTTAGGCATAGGTATTTCCCGTTGACCCTTTCTATCCTGTATTCTATGTTGTCCAACCTTCTTATTGATAAATGTTTTCCTTTTTTTGTTTACCTTCGGTATCATCATTGTATTTAGCACAAAACACTCTACTCTACTTAAATCCATTGCTGCCCTAGCTCGTGTGGCTGCCGTCCAAAGCCGCTCCTTGTATATATCAGAAAGTGGTTGTATATAATACGTACTACCTTGGGCAGAATGACAAGTAAAGCAAGAAACAACATATGACATGTTTCCTTATACATAACCTTTGTTCAAGCCCTTGACCTCCTGACTTTATTTAAAAAAACAATTAAAACATGTATCACATACTGAGACTGTTTAATCCGCCGACCCCACACCGTGGGGTGAGGCGTGACTGTCGATGTTAGCCTTAGCCTGAAGCCTGAGGCCTTAGCCTTAGCCTTAGACTTAGACCTGACCTCCCCTACCCCTCCGGACCCTTATTGCAGTGACGAAAGTGCGACGTGATTGCTACCATAGTGCGACGTGATTGCTATCAAAGTGCGACGTGATTGTGCCCTGGATTGTCCAAGATTCTGCCATCCCAATTGATTTACATCTTGGGGCACCCTCTCTACCCGCGCGGGAAAATAAGCACGGTCCAAAATGGTCCCGGGCTCGAATCCCGGGCTGGTCGCGGCGGTCCCGGCCAATGCCTTGCTTTTTCCTAGATTTTGTCACGTTTTCTGTTGGATTTGTGGGATGTTCAAAGGCTTTTTCAGCATTTTCCTAGGAATGCTGGATTTGTGGGATTTTCAAAGGCCTTTTCAGCATTTTCCTAGGAATGCTCTAGGCTTTGTCTAGATTTTGTTACGTTTTCGGCTGGATGCTTTTCCAAGAATTTTCTAGCATTTCCTCTTGTTTTTAGGTTCCCAGATTTCCCCAAAAAATTG